CTGACTTCATAGGAGGGGAGAGAGCTGGTATTAAGAGGAAATTTTTTCTCTTTGAACTGTAGATATAAATCAAAGAATCATGCTATTTCTGTCTATGTTCAAGTAGTTTAGTACTACAAACATGTATTGAGTATTTGCTTTGAACAATGTATGCTGCTAGGTGCTATGGAAGATGCAAAGTTAAATGAGCTTGCTGACCATGTGTTGATCTAAGGTGCTAAGAAGTCAAGAAAAGGTCTGTCTGAGAATTAGTAGAAATTGGTAATAAATAAAACAGGTATATAATCTCTAGTGAGAAGATTTTTTGAATAGTTTTTTTAACTCCAGATTAAATTAACAGTCAATGAATTAGGTATGTGGAACAGAGTTAAAAAGCATTGACAAGATTTATAATAAATAATAAAGAGTCCAGGCAATCATTGAGGTTAGACTAAGTTGTCTTCAAGGAGTTTTTCTGAGAGAATGTTCTTACTTTCATCAGGTCTTCAGTTTGGCAGGTCTTAGAAACTCCATTTTGAAAATGTTTCCAAGCTTTGCGCAGTGGCAGTATCGTAGCTAAAGAGGTTTATTCAAGGTGAGATTATTGCTCATTGAAAATGTTTCCAGAGTTAATTAGACCGAGAAGCAATAACTCTTACTTCCAGACTTTAAAATGATAGTCATGGAAACCAGTTTGACAGTTTTGAGTCCCTTATGCCTGATTGTCAGGTGTGTCAAAGGACTCTTTACATTCTTTCTCCCCTGTAAAAACATATATGGCAAAGTGTTGGTTGATGAGAATGAACTCAAAGCAGGAAAAGTTGGTTGGATGGAGTGTATCATCAAAGTATCTATTCCAAGAGGACTAAATTCTCAGGTCTGTTACCCCGGAAACGTTTGGTGATAAATTCTTCCTCTTGCTTCTCAACCCTCCCAATGTTTCTAGTAGGCAGTGACTACCTCCCTCTTCTTTTCTGCTAAGAACTCTTTTTTTCCCTATTTTAGATACAGTTTTAATTAGTTTGGATACAGCTTTATTTTTAAATCAATCATACTTTCTTAGGCTGAATCTGAAAGGTCATTTCTTAGGGTAAGTTCAGCCATCAGCAGAAGTATAAAGTATTGGTTGATAAAATAGGTAATGCTTGTATTTCTGTAAGTTTTGCTTTTTCTAGTTTATTCTTTTTTTAGAAAATAAACTTTCAGTTTTAAAATGGGAAAGCATTCTCACATATCTCTTAGTTATGTAGACTGGAGAAAGTCTTAGCTACTTTGATCATTAGACTGTAATCAAGACAAATATTACTTTGGAAATAAGATATTCTGATGGTAGACAACATAAAATAAAAACTTGGTTTGTATTATTCCTTGAAGAATGAATATGTCTGGATAGCTGACTTTTATATAAAATTAAGAATTAATAAATTATACTCTTTAAAGATAGCAATTATCTTATTTGTCATTTTCTAATGGTCACTAAAGGTATTGAATCATATATGTTGAATAGAATTATGTGCACCAAATTCTATTTTAATTATTTTTAGTTTGTTTTTTTCTAAAATCTTCCACATTTTCATGCTTTATGACACACAAAGTATATTAAGCCTAATTTGGCACTTGAAAGTAACTTACAGTTTTAATGTTCCAGCCAGTAGTAACTTCTCCCCCTTCTAGTTTGCTATTTCTATTGTGCTTATGAATGTGATAACATAGTAATTTGTGTTGCTCTGAGTATGTTGTGTAAATGTCAGTCCAAAAACCTCATGACATGTTTGGTTGATCAATTATAAATGTTATAATTTTGTCTTATAGCAGTATTCAAGATAGCTGAGTTTTAGAGAGATTAGCATTTGCTATTACGAGAGAAAAAAATAGCCTTTATGTTTCCCATCACAAATTGTGTTCATAAAGTCATGGTTAATGTCATACCCTCTGATAGAATAACCATCTAATTATGATGACTTAATCCGTAGTAGTCTACTTTTTTCTTGAACCAGATTCTAGAAGGATGTCAAAAGCACTGAAAAGAAAAGTTTTTCTCATGTGAATTCTTTCAAGTTGATTCTTTTATTGCCACAAATAAGTTCCTCAAAGTTATAATCAAGTTGTACATTTCTGCATAATAAAAATTTCCTGTAATATTAGCTAGTTGTAGTAGGCTGACCTTGTAATTGCTTTTTTAATCCTGAAATAATTTCCAGTGTTTAAGTATTATTTGCAGCTGCAGTTTTATGCCTTTTATATATACCTTTCCAAATAGGACTTGACTCCTTTATTTTTGTGTATTTTTGCACAAGCTATCTCAGTTGTTTTGGAGCAGCCTGTCACTCATCAGTTCTAAGACACCATTAAAATTACTTCAGTCACTTTTTATACAGGTGAAACCAGAAGCTCAACTTTCCTCTAAGTCCCTAAGCAATGTAGTCATGTATTTGCAGACTGTGTTTTCACAAAAGAAAACACTATTTTAAATGAATTATGCAACAGAACCAAGAAAGGTTAATTTTAAATAAATTGTCATCAGTTACTACAAATTTCAAAGCATAATAGAAAAATTAATTAATATAGAATATATTGCGAATCTATGGTCTTGTCCCAAATTCCTAGGAAATAAAATTCTGGTTTTTTCTACTTATACATCTAATAAAAAGATTTATTTTTTCATCTGTGGGCTAACGTTAGTTATTCAGCTGTTCACATGTAAGAAATTAATGTTATAGCTATTCATGTAACTTCTATAGAGTCTTTTAAAGTGAAGGTGCTTTTTTTTTTAGTTTCATTAGAGGAAAGTTTTATAACCAGAGAAGTTCTTGGGATTGGAGTTGAAATCACAAATATTTGCATGAATAGTACTGCATAATAATAGTCCAGTCCACCTGCCATATATGAGTAAGCTAGTAAATAAAGGGTAAGAAGAAAAAAACTTCTCTAACTTTCTGGTATATTTAAAAGAAGATAGGCTCTGGCTTGGTTGCTCAGTTGGTTAGAGTGTCATCCTGATGCACCAAGGTTTCAGGTTCAATCCCCACTAGGGGCAAGTAGTTGTTCCTCTCTCCCTCTCTCTCTCTCTCTCTCTCTGTCTCTCTCTCTCTTCCCCCCCGTACTCCTCTCCCCCCATTCTCTCTGAAATCAATAAACATATCCTTGGATGAGGATTTAAAAATAAATAAATAAATAAACAGATATTTTCTTTTATACTACTTGAAAATGTATTTAAAGTGAAATATACAAGGTCTGCCTGGAAAATGTCCAGCCATTTAACAGCCATTTGTTAATATAACAAAAACGGTTTGTACAACATTGAGGTAACCTGGTAGCCAAGGACAGTGGACTGGAATGTGTTTGCATGAACAATGACGACTTCACTGTCCTAGTCAGTGGGGGCGGTAGACGCCATTGAGTGAGCATGTGTACTGTGTGGCTGTTGCATTCAAAATGACTGAGTGAGTAGAGCAATGAATCTGCATTCAATTTTGCACTAAGCTTGAACATTCCTCTGCAGAAACTATTCAGATGATTCAGAAGGCCACAGCTGTGGGCAGCTGGCGATTGGCAGCTTCATCATGACAATGGGCCCCCCTCCCCCGCGCCATGCATTACATCTTATGCAGGGTGTTTTGGTGAAACATCAAATCGCCCAGGTGACTCAGCCCCACTGCAGCCCACATTTGGTGCTTTAGTTTCCCAAAACTAAAATCACCTTTGAAAGGGAAGAGATTTCAGACTGTCGATGAAATTCAGGAAAATACTGCAGGGCAGCTGATGGCAATTGGGAGAACTTTGTGAGGTCCCAAGGTGCTTACTTTGAAGAGGACTGAGGTGTCATTGTCCTATGTCTATGTACAATGTTTCTTGTATCTTCTTCAGTAAATGTCTCTACTTTTCATATAACATGACTGGATACCTTCTGGATAGACCTCGTTTATCTAAGCTGAGATTATGCTGTTTGTTTTGATTTTTCAGATATTATTTATCAGTTTATCAATCTAATGATAGATGTTCTGTTAACATGAATTAAACCAGTATGTCTAGAAACTACCTTTTTTTGGTTGAATAATTTTTCTTATGTATTTATTAGAGCCTTATAGAAAAACACATAAGAAATTGTATTATTATGAAGAGACTGATTTTTCTGTTGAAGTAAAGGAAACAGTTTTTTTGTGTGGTTTATTTTTTACCAAAGAACACTAAAAAGTTCACTTGACTTTTCAGAGTAGTAGGTGTTGTAGCAGGCAAATGCATAGGTTGCCTTGTTGAATTGCAATTGTTTATGGAAGTCCAGAACCAGTAGCACTCTTTGGCTCTTGGAAGTTTTTTGTTCAATAGTGTCTTTCATTTGTATTTTTTGGTATTTTTTTTTTAATGCACATTCACTGACAGTTGAATTAAAAATACCGTATTTTGCCATGTATAATGTGCACTTTGTTGCCCAAATTTTTGAGGGGAAAAAGGATACACATTATACATGGGTAGTACTGATTCCCTATCTATATAAGTGTTTTTATTTTATTTATGCTTGTGCATTAAAAGTAGGACTAGAAAGCAATAATGATATCTGTGTGCAAAATAATACCCTGGAATACAATAATTGGTTTTGTTTCTGGATATAAATAAATAAAAAATTGAATTAAAAAATTAAAATGAAAGCTTTTTTTTCCTGAAAGTTTGGACCGAAAATGTGGGTGTGCATTATACATGGAAGCACGTTATACATGGCGAAATATGGTAAATACTGTATATATTTTAAAAGAATTGTCAAAGAAGCAAGTATAATGGAAAGTTACATTAATGAAGTAAGACTGCCAGAATTTTAGTGAGGTTTTATAGTGGAATAATATTGGGGGGGGTACAATGTAATGTTGATTTTGTTCAGCAATGTCTGTAGATAATTTAGAAATCTTAGTACCCATAAGCTGTTTAAATCTTCAATATAGTCTCTGTATATGATATTAAAACATTGTAAAATTACTATAAAGTAAAGCTTTGATAACTTTATGAGTATTTTTTTTAATTTTTAATAGGATACAACGTCCATTGAAAAGATGTCAAACTGTTGTGAAGAAATGTAAGTATAAAAGTGAAGTCTGTAGTGTTCTTATTAAAAATGGGAAAAAAAGAGCCACATTTGAAAACTAATGTGTGTATGTAGTGGAAAGATAGTGTAGTGATGGCTTTTCTTAGTGCCTTGTATAAGGCCTGAGCTAGACAGTCATAACCCCATCTTACTGTAGGGGACTTCTGGGCATGCTAGTTTTCATACAAAAGTACTGATCATTCTTGTTTTTTGTCTAACTAAAGTAACTTAAATTATTTGTCCTGAAAGTATATCAAAAGAGATTTGCTACTGTGTTGTTGATACATATTCTATTAAGCCTGAGATTTTCCTCCACTTTAAAAGTTGCTCTAGGTTGATTGACGACACAGATACAATATCTGCTATCCAGAGTTAAAACTCAGCTGCATGCCATAATGAAAGAAAAGCTGTGTTTGTGATGCTGGGACACAATTCATCAGAGTCCAGTAATGGATCCCCAGCCAACCTGTATTGTTTTAGTTGACTGAAATGCACCATGGGAGTGCTGTCTTTCACTAATAATGCTGTCTTCTGTAGATCGAGGCCCCGAAAGCCATGGCAGCAGACCTTCTCAGAAGTTTTTGGCACTCGTTGGAAGATCCTGTGGTTTATTCCTTTCAGGCAGAGGCAACCACTGCGAGTTCCCTACCACTTTGCCAATCACGTCTAAACAGATGGATGGTGGGCACAGATGGGTCCTCCATGCTGGAAATGCGTTACAGGTTTTCTGATAATAGAACGATGACAGTCTTCAAGTCAATTAAAATCCACCCACCAATCTTAGGCATCATAATGTGCCCCAGGCTTTATTTTAATAGTGATCTTGATCTTGTTGTGGGATTAATACAAGATCTATATTTAAGTTTTAAAGCATGTTTACTTTCAAATTAGCTTTCCACAGAGATTTCTAAAAATGCTTTTGTTATTAAACTCAAAAGGCAGTGATTGGATTGAAATAATTGTACATAATTTTTTTTAGTACTGACAATATTATAGATTTTAATTTATGGGAATTTTCAGATGTTTATTTAAATTTTTCACTCTTAAACAGTACTAACCAAATCTGACTTTAATTCTTCAGGTTTTACAGAAGGTTTTACACCTTATATTATATGTAAAGTTTCTTTTTCAAATATAGCTTAAAATATATTAGTACTTTCTCTTATACATGCTGCAAGATTTTTTTAAATGCAACATAGGATTGGACAACAAAAAGGCCATGTTTTCTTAGAAGTAGCTTTCTAATGTTTTCTCTTTTTCTCTTCATCAAAAACAGAGCACCACTAAAATAAAGTACCAACTATCTACCTTATTTTAAAGGAAAAATTAATTTTTATGTTAACTTTCCTGTTTCTTCTCCCTGTACTGTTGTAATTATTGATTGTTGTTAATATATTTGCTTCGAGTAGAAAATTTTTACTAAGTGGATATGTATTCCTATTTTACCCTAAGATTTTGATGAGCAAAAATGAAAGAGAGTATGCAATAATTCCACAGATACCTTTTCTAGTGCAGTTATGCCAGAATGTGTGGTTTTAAAATGCTGGCATAACCAGATGATATGTACTGCACAGTATAAAGAGGAATGTTCTTCTTTTGAAAAAATATATATACTTTTTACTTTTACTTAACACTACCTACTAGTAGATCTAAAATTACACATTGAAGGTTGTTTATACATATTAAGTATTGGCCAACTAGTCCTGAAATTCTATCTATAGGAAATTACTGTAAAAATAAGTAAATAACTTTTGTATACCTATAATCACCCAAATTGAAATTAAATTTTAATTGACCAATTATAATTTGGATTGAAAGGCCTTTTTGTAGCTAATGTTAGGAAATGACCTTAAATTAAGAAAACATAATGATCTACATTTATTATCAGCCTTATACAAATTTAAACTGCAAAGAGTGATGGTCTCTTGGAAAGCATAGAACATTTCTGTGAAAAGACCTTTAGCATGCTTTGAAAAAAATTCATCTTTAACATTTTTGCCATTAGAATATTGTAAAATCCATGTATCTTTTAAAAAAATTGTGTACTCAGTCTTTCCCTTGAAAAGAAGGTTGAAGGGGTCACTGTACTTGCAGCATATCAATAGTTTTCATTAACTTAATTTTGATAGTAGGGGAATCATACCTGAGAAATCAAGAAACAGTTACCATTATCAGCCAGTTAACTATACTGTGGTCACTCCTTTTCAGAAATTGTAAATATCTTCTAAAATAATAGAATAAGCTGTTCTCAGAGATATAAATACCATGTCTTACGTGTTCTGATTATAATGTTTTATTATTTAAAAGCTTAGAAGTGGCAGACTAAAATATGTATTGGTGCTGATAAGATGCATAGAAATTTAATATGAGAAATGTATTTATAGAGCTTAATGAACCACATTAGTATGTTCATGCATTGGAAATGGATTGGGTTTTGTGCAAACTAACATGTTGACCAAATTTGGCCTGGTGACAACTGTTATAAGGAAGTAATGTATAGATAATACAGATAGCAGTCCAATATCCTACCTAGCTGTATACATTCCTTTCATATGAGGACCTTGAGGAAACAGGAAAGGGAAGTGAAGATCCCTTAAAGAGCTTTATAGACACAATCATACTTCATGTAGTAGCAGGAGCTAACTTGAAAGGTACCTGGAATGTGCTCAGAGCCAACATCTGCCTCAGTAATGAGAACCAGAGGTGTCCCTTTCCCACTTTAAGGGGTTTTTGTTTTCCTTAGATTTACTATTTCTAGAGCATGTTTTCATCCCTCTTTTCTCTAAAGCCCTCGCTGGTCTGATCCCTCTGTGCCTGATCCCTCTGGTACTGCAATGCAAACTAGTATACTAGGCAAGGCATATATTTATTTTGTTTGAAAGGCAGAAGTGGTACATATCAATATATCAATATATTTATATAAGAATCTATATTAAGGGATATATATATATATACACACACACACACATATGTGTATATGTGTATATGTGTGTGTGTGTGTGTGTGTGTGTGTGTGTATATCTCGCTAATTTTGGGAGAGATATATATAGATCTCTCCCAAAATGAACATGCCTGACTGGGTTTTGTTAATCCTTGTTAGACGAGAAAAACCAGTGGATAATTTCCTAGGGAGTGCATAAACTCTAGTGTACTCTCTGCGCCCTCTTTTGGCTAATTGATGTAATTATACTGGGTCTAGAGATTGACTGCCCCACAAGTAAATTGTATAGCCAAATTCAGAACCTGTCAGAGGTGCAAACTTAGGGGGAGTGTATGTACAAAACTGTTATATTTTATGAAAATTAATGGTTTCTGTTTATGATGTCACATCTAATTCATACAAATGATGACTACTTTTATTTATGTATATTATATTTTTTACTGTCATTTACAAATTTGTATCAGATCAGGATAAACAAATGTAAGCCATTTCATGAATTTTTTTAAATTTTTATTTATTTTATTGTATTTTTTTTCATTACCATTTATACTTACTACACCCTCTTCCACCTCCCCCCTAACTCCCCCCCCACCTCCCCGCAAATACCACACTGTTGTCTGTGCCCATGAGTTCTTATTTTGGCAAATTAAGTCCTTAGAATTAGAAAACACATTACTATAAAATTACTAATTCACTAGAAAACACAGAAATCTATCATAGTTACATTGGCAAGCAAGTATATAATGTGTTTTACTGAATATCTAAAAAATACATTTTTTTAAATCTCAGTTTTGGAAAGATTTTTTTTTTTTTTTGCTGATTCTATTGCACTAAAATAGTAAGAGATTAATGGTTCTTTTTTATACTTTTTCATCTTTAACTTTCCTACTCAGAGTCATAGCTGCTGCTTTAGTAGCCAATTTATTATGTATTCTGTATAAGCATGAAAATAACTAATAATGTGCTGAGTATTAGAAAATATATTGATAAAGTAGTTTCTTATAAATACTTTATTCCATTTTAATAAGCAAAATATATTTTAAAGGATGTTTATATCAGCAAAATCATTAATTGGGCTTCTGGAAATGAGTCTTATCTAGATATTATAAGTTACACCTCTTGGCCAATTATATTTGTTGTTGTTCTTTTCCTTAAACAAAAATCTTAATGGGCTCAAGATTGTAAGCAAAAGTTGACTGACTTCACAATACCTTAAACAGTAGGCATTCAGCTAATGTGCTTTTGGTACTTTGTAATCAAGACTTAGAGTTTAAAAATATTAAGTGAACTGATGTTCCATTTTAAGAATAATACTATTTTGATTAAGGGTTGTATTAAAAATATTTGTGCTTAATGTAAGAGATAGCTTTATTTAGATTTTTAATGTATTAATCTCTAACAGAAGAAAGCATAGTTTCAATAGTAATAGAAGTAAAGAACATAAGCTACATAAAATTCAGTATAAAAATGGAGTTAAAACTTCTGTGAGAATGAACATCAGTAAATTTTTGCTAATATTTAGAGGTATTTTTCCCCTAAGGATGGTAGCTAACTATAAGTATTCTTCATTAGGCTTTTTCAAGTCATTTCCATACAAGCAGTTGGTTGAAAATATGTTTTACCCAAAAGAGATTAATAATTCTGAATGCTAATCATGAAGACTTAAGTTAGGACAACACTTCTAGTCAGGACGTGTGAAGTAATTTAGATTATGGCCACACAATGTTTTATGTGTTAGGTCGTGGGGCAGCTCAAATGTATTGCTATAAGATTACAATGTGTCCAGCCCTGGTTTACAGTGGCATTAATACTAACAAAGCTGCTAGCCTCTCCCGAAATTTTTGCTTCATGGAGAAATAGATCACCTAGCTCAAGTTTACTATACTATTGCTGCTTCATTAAATAAGTTTTATACATGACCTCTAATATATAGAGATATATATAGAATTTATTTGATAGAATTTATACTTACATTGAATAATTTATTAATAGATACAAGTAGGAGTTTTTTTACCCAGGTCCACCACTGTGGCTTTCAAAAATGTAAGTATTAGCAAGGGGTAGTTAGTAAGTCATGCACATTTAGTATATTCTACTTTCTAATATTGTTAACCTATAATAAACAAATGAATTAATTTATTATTTAATGTTCACACTTGTTACTTCATATTCTAAGAATCATCCTCTGAATTTATATATAACAAATTTCATTATGTTCTGAATTTAGCCATTCTCAATTGAGTTCTGGAATATTCTACAGTAGAATGTGAGGAAGAAAGAACCAGCTTGCTTAAAGTATTTTGAACCAATGTTGTTATTCTGTGTATTATTTAACACTTTTCCTGCCTTCAGGGTGATGATGATTTAACTTCAGGAAAGTGACTGTTTCTTCAGACATCTCCTTTCATTATCATTGTGCAGTTTTTAACAACAAAATTTACCATATTTTTGTCTGTTTTTTAGATGTTGTAATAGTGAGTGCTAGTGCTAATTTTCAAAAAGGAAAACAATGGTATTTAAAATTCTCAAGTTATTGGTATTTCTGGTGTTTTTCACTATCATTTTTTTACTATTATGTCCTCTTCCCCTAGTCCACCATAGAGGACATAAGAGTACAAATAAGGAGTGAGTAGCCAAAACTGCAGAAAGGAATTCGGGGAACTTAATAAGATGGCGAGAAGGCTGGACAGAGGATAACCAGCATCTCAGCGACAGGGTGGACTGGGTAGTTTCTGCGATGTCCCAAAACCCCTCTGCTACAATCATTAGCCTTATCTCTTGCTGATAACATTTTACTGTAAGAGTTACTAATGCAGGTGAGCATTTAGTTTGAGTTATCTAAGGAATTTATATTGCTGATCTCTTCAGCTGGTCAGATGCC